ACTGCTACTGCTACTGCTACGGCTATGGCTACTGTTACTACCACTGTTACTACTACTGCTACTGCTACTGTCGCCACTGCTACTGCTATTGCTGCTGCTGCTACTGCTACTGCTACTGCTACTGCTACTGTTGCTACTGCTACTGCTACTGCTACTGCTACTGCTACTGCTACTGCTACTGCTACTGCTACTGCTACTGCTACTGCTACTGCTACTGCTACTGCTACTGCTACTACTCCTGCTGCGCTTCCGCCAAGACAAGCCCGCTGACCGGCAACACCCGCCGGATAAAGAATCGCCGAGATTTCGTTCTCGATGCCTCCGACCGGCAATTCTGGGCATCCTGTTCACGAAGCCTTGGGACCATCCCTCAAGCTTTGGCTGACAGAGGCCAAAGCGAGCTTTGTGGACCACAAGCCGAGCCATGGACGACTTCAAGAGTATCTAGGAATGTTCGCTGGGCTCCATAACAGATATCGATGTGGTGGGCTTCTTGTCCATGAAGCACTACGAATAGGAGCTGCAGCCAACCGCCCGTCAGTCCACTGGAGCAAGTTGACTCTTCAACTTCATGTCCTTGTCGAGTGTTCACGGCCTTTTTGAGGTTTCCTTCTTCTTGTCTCTTGTTAGGAAACGTTTCGGGCCCGTGAAGTCGTTCGTCAGCGCACGGGATGTGCTTGTCCTCCACCGGGAAGAAACGTTCAAGTGTCCCGGCTGCTTTGGGCCTGCCCTTCTAGTCTTTTGGTGGATCCATTCCTGCAGGGAGGATAGGAGGTTGCTGCAGCCGCGAAAGGTTTGGCAACCAGCAAATCATGCGACTGGGCGCCCGGCCGAACGCACCTTCCCAGAATCTTGGAAGCGCAACAGCGGGATGTTTCCGAGAGGGACCCACAATTCACTCAAAGCATGCCGAGCACTTCTGAGGAGGGGCCATTGATTGGTGCCGGACCAATGTGGGCATCGGTGACGCTGACCAGCCCGTAAAGGCATTAAGCAGGGTCGTGAAGCCTCTGGCTTCGAGGGAAAGATTTGTCTTGGACTCCCAGCATTTTGCTAGAGATTTACCACATTCTGGCAGAGTCTCAGAGGTTTTGCCTGGGACCTGCTTAACTAGACTAGAGGCCGTGGCCTGAGGCGAGGCTGACCTATGAGCCTGTTTCGCAGTGGGCCAGGTCGGGCCAAACTCTGCTAAGCAGAGTGCATAGCGGTATAGCGATCCTTGCACTGATCGGCAGCTTTGTGACAGTGCGAAACTCGAAAACTGGAGCGCATGAAGCTCGTCGAATCATTTCCATGCTCCTTCCTGCGCACAGATCAAGCAGCATATGCAGTCTCCTGTCAGCAGTTTGGCGGTGCATCCTGCGACTAGTTCTGCGAGGGCGGGGTCTTTTGTCGTCAGAGCAAATCAGGGCACGTGATATGCAGGCGCAAAATTGCAGGCATGTGCGCGGAACCCAGCTGACTGCGTCAACACAAGCATGCTTTCTGCTGGGTTTTGTTGGTTTAATCACTGTTGGGCTCGCATCTGGAGCTTTAAGTTGGGACATCGAAGCCTTTGCTTTTTGCTCGGTTTGGGGAATGCTGCAACGTTGGCAAATCGTCCTCAGAGACACCATTCCAGGCCGCGGCGAACAGACTTCCTGGTCGGGGTTGATGCAGCGCCCACTGCAGTGGCATTGATCTTGGAGGCTTTTGATGCCCAACATTGTATGCATTTGCTTGGATGAGGGTGGATTATAAGAACATCCGGGCCACAGACTGGGTAGGTGCACAGAATATTTCGGAATTTTGTGTTGCAAGTTGATTTCCTTTCCCGGTCTGTGTTTATGAATAATTTTGTTGTCAGTTGGGTTGCATGTTGCTTGTCTTTTATGCATTTTGTCCGTCATTTGGTTTGCTTGTTTGTTGGCTTGGTTTTTGGTTGTTGTTTCAGTTGCATTCTTGCAGATGAAATTCGGACAGGATTCTTTTTGCTTCTGTCTGCGGTTTAGAGCAGACCGCGTGCGATCCTCTTCTCGGTCTGGTGGGTGTGGCCGGAGTGGGGGGGCGGAGGCGGCGGGCCGTGTGGGGAAGAGAGGGCGGAGAGTGTTTGCTTCAAATTCGCATCGATTTCTGCGTCCCCCGAAACGACCGCTGGGCTTTGCGGTCTTTTGCATCGTGTTTCTGCTCCTTTCGTTTCTTTTTGTATTGAGAGTATTTAGAGGGTTGCTCAGAAGAGGCGGCAGAGTGGTCCGGGCCGGGAACACGGAGACACGGAGGGAGCTAAGGGATGCGGGATACATATATACATCCGGATGATTTGCAGCTACCAGACCAGGAAGACTAACTAAGACAAAGACACAATCAAGACATGACAAAGACCACAAGCAGCATGCATGCAAAGTAACCGCAACAGGTAACTGCACGCATCAATTCAACAAGCAACTGCAATCAGCAGACCGCCAATGAATGCAGTGTAAGAGAACTGTAAACAGCACATTTCTAGGGGAGCATGTGGGGAGATCAGTCAGAAAAAGAGGTCGAAGACGTTGAGGCTTTCCAGATGTAGGATCAGGGCGAACATCCGGTGAAAGCCTGCATCACAAGCATCGTGAGATGTGCATCACCACCGTGACCACGTTTGCTCTCGATAGGGGACGTGGGCCAGGTCTCCAAGGCCGGTGAGGAGCAAGGCGAGATGGTGCTGAGCCTTGGCGAAGCATCAGCCTGGCACTGCAGTCTTCTTCCAGGGTCTTCCAGGATCTTCCAGCTCTGACTAAAGCCGAGGACTGCCCTCGTGCGGATGGGGCGCCTCGTTGTCGGTCAGTCGTGGCCCCATGCTGACCCAGCAGACTTGCTTGCATCCTTGTCAATGAAAAGGTGTGTTGCTGCGACTCCAGGTTCTTTGTTGCCGGGACCGCATTCGGAAGGATTACGATGCTTGACTGGAACGCGATGGATGTGTATGTCTTTGCAGCGTGATTCTGACACACCAAAACCGCCTTTCGCTTTCGCTCGATTTGGCATCAATCTAGAGTACCAAGATATCCTGTAGCAGATTCGCCTACGTCCAGCGTCGTCCCTGCCCCAACACCAGGTGACTCGTTAGATGTTTGGTTATGAGCTCTCGTCAGTGTGAGCGCAGTTGAAAATTCTGAGGAATCTTTCAGTAGCCACGGGGCTAGAGCGCAACCGGCAACACGGCTGCATCTTACTGTCATATATAAGGGTATATCGAAAGCTCAGGGGTGCGCGGATCCCCACATGCTCACACCAAGAGCATGACGAACAGCCGGATCGCTTGCTATCGTTTGCTGCTCCTGCTTGGCATGACGCACCTCGGCTAGTCCCGCTACAGTGCTTCAGAGATGTTTTGCAAGCAGGGGGCTGCTGCTTTGTGGCAGTTATCCCAGTATCCCTCTGCCAGTCAAGAAAGCATGGCCGCTCACAAGTAGTCCCTGGAACTACAGGGACATGAGATCGCTGAATTTCAAAGACCTTGGACGTCCAAGCCGAAACCCAGTCGCAGAGTGCTTACCGGTCACCGCCAAGCATTAACTACTCCAGAAAGAAATCGAAGTGCCCGCTTGCAGGCTTTGGCTGAAGTGCGACCATGCCAGTGTTGGCGTGGCCGTGCAGCTGTCAGTCACTTATGATGCGGGTTAGAGAGGCCGTGATGGACCTCTGGCTGGATGGCAGGCACTGCGCAGATTAGACTGATTACACGCTACGAGAGGGCTGAAGCAGCACTCCAGCTGTGGCCCTGCTTGAACTGCAGTTTTCGCCAAGGACGGGTCTTCGCACGAGAAAGGTCGGTGGGGATTGCGACCGGAGCCCGGTGGATCGTATGTATACATTTGTTGGCCCAAGCCCTGAGTCGGACCTTATAGACCAGCGGCGTGGCTGGCGGTGTCGGTTGTGCCGGCGGATTTTAAGGCAGCATTGTCGGGAGGCCGCCTGGTTTCGGTTGTCGCGGGGCTGTCGTAGGGAATACTTCCGTAGGAGCTAGGGCTTCGGTGTATACGGCTTTGCTGAGTTTCCTGTCCAGCAAGCATTTGTTGGCAGGAGGTTTCCACACGGAATGGTAGGCATGCCGTATTTGAGCAAGATTAGCTTAGGCTGTGGATGACCTTATCATCGTATTGCCTCGCGAGCGCGCCTGGCTCCGGCCTTACGTGCTGACAGCTTTGCGAGCGCTGGTGCGATGCGCTGCGGAACTCTTCGGAGTCCCGGAGGCGCTTGTGCGAGCACCGGCAGCGGATCGAGCAGCTCATGGCATGCCAGGCCAGACCATACACAGACCCCAGGTGCAGCGCAGTTTGTCCGCATGGTTCAGGTTTTCGGGCCGCCATTGGAGGTGACTGCTGGGGCAAGCTTGGGTGTGTAGCATTTAGGTGTTGCACCACAGGCTAGATCACAGGGCAAGCCGGATGTAGTTTTTTTGGATGGACTGCCATTCCCAAGAGACGAGTTGCCCTTCAGATGCGCATGGCATTGCAAAGTGCAATTGCGCGTGTGCCATGTGCAGCTATTTGGAGGTTGCATGGGAGAACGACGCGCAGATCCAGGTGCGGCTTCGTCAGAGGAGAAGCTGGGCATTTTCGTCTCGGCTTTCGCTGTTTTTCAAGCGCGCCGTGTTGCGCAGTCGCGGACGCAAGCGGCCTTCGAGCTCGCGCCTCGGCAGCCGGCTGTCGGCGGCAGCTCGGGGCTCGCTGGCCGCTTCTCGCAGTGCGCCAGGCGAGAGGATGTCGAACATCCGGAGAAGCATTCAGGCCCGATGATTCAGAGTCAAGAAGCTGCTCTTCTCACCTGCCACCCGTAGCTGTCGGTCCCAAACCTATAGAGTCGGATTTCTATGCATGATTCCAGACATATTCTAGGGGCTGCGCCTACCGGCGGGCAGCGCAGGTAGCAGCCCGGACAAACCGATATAAGCTTGAGCTTCAAACCGCAAACCCTCTAGAACAACATTTAACAAGAACGGAAGGGGCCTTCTCCACCCCTATCCGTGTCCCTATGCTGATGATTGCACGCCCCGCGTCCCGGGGCTTTTGTTAAAACAAAGCTAGCAAGGCTACAGGTCGCCTGAGGCTCGGACCAGCACGGCGCAAGCCCTCGGGGACCGAGCGCTGCCCTATTTAAGGGCTACACCGCTGCCGCCGACCTGCAGTGGAAACAAAGCATCTCCACCCCTCTGTGTATAGTTCTGGTGCCGAGTGCAAGAACGCGATGTGTGTGTGTGTGTGTGTTCTTCCTGGCATGCCGCTGTGCACGTGGAGCCCTAAATGTCAAAACCGCAGTTTACAGAGCAGCGGGGCCGCGAGCAGCAGCAGACGAGTGGCGCCGAAGAGGCAGCCAAGCAGACTGGCGCCGAGCAGGCAGCCAAACAGATTGGCGCCGAAAAGGCTGCAAGAAGAAAACATTCAATAATTCAAGGGGGGCGGGGAGGGGCGGTGGAGGGGTGCGGTGGGTGGGAATGGGGGGATGGGGTGGGGGTGGGGGGTAAGGAGGGGGTGGCTTCGGGTTACGTGGCACTAGTAGATGTGGGCGGGGTATAGGCACGGAGCAATTATGCATTGAACGCCGTCATTTCTAAAACCATGCAAGAAGAAAATATTTAGTAATTCAAGGGGGGCGGTGTGGTACCATGCAAAAGAAAAAGATCAGTAATTCAAGGGGGGGGCGGTGGGGGAGGAAGTGGGAGGGGAGGGGCGGAGGGTGCAGGTGCGGGGGTGGGGGGGAGTGAGGGAGCGGGGGAGGGTGCGGGAGTGAGGCGGGGGAGGGGTTATGTGGGACTAGTACCCTGCCCTGTCCGCCCTGGGCTGCCGTCCTCGGTTGACAGTCTTCGGTTTCGCTTTCTTATCTTTTTTTTGTTCTTCTGTCCGCGATTGTCCTTTCAATGCAAGCCGCCGCTGTCTGCAACCTGGCCGACCAGAAGAGGACAGCAAGCACTCGCAGCACTGACTCCATGGAGGCTTCTGGAGAAGCTCCACGGGACCCCGAAAGACACGGCGCCGTCGAACGATCGATCTCGCCATTCAACTCAGTCTGCTTCCAGCAGGACAGTGGTCGGACCTTGTGCGCAGTCGGCATAACGATGGCTTTTGACCTCCGCCGTTCAAGGTGCCGTTTCACATTGCAACCACCAGCTTTGTCAGCTCCGGTTTGGTATGTATTTTGTCGATGGAACTTAAGCCCAAAGTCTTCCTTTCTTCCTGTTCGATCCCGAAACTGTGATTTACGCTTCTTCCGGCAGCCCAGTCCGGAATACATGCCAAATCTGAACACTCCAGTCAAAGCATACATTCAAAGCCTCGAACTGCGTGTAGGCAGCGCTCTCAAGCCTTCGAGCCCCGCAAGCCTCGGAGCGGTTCTCGCATGTTTTCACAAACACGGCAAGAGAATATCGTTAACGCATCTGCTATAGTACCTACTCGTACTTCCAAATCCGATCCGATGTCGATTGAGTCGCCGGCCGCTTTCTTTTGACTGCCCTTCTTTACCTCCAGTGCCGAAACCTGCGCTGAAACACAATCGTCTATAGCCAGAGGCTGACAGGCCCCCACCTGCGTTTCAGCGGCTCCGTCTCGGCAAAACCTGCACCAATGATGTGAACATGGTGTGAGTCTCCAGGCAGTGCTTACGACCGCCGTTGGGAGCAACCGGCTGTGGAGGAGGTTCCTTGAGCACCTCGAACACTGCGAATTGGTATCAAAGCTATCAGCTGGCAATCAATGTCTTGATCGATTTCAAATAAGTGGTGACAACAAGATGCATCGAAGTCGGCCTTGTTCCCTAGCATGGCAGGTCTCTGGTTTGGCTCCAGCATTGAGCAATGCCTCGCGTCGCGAGTTTCAATCGCCGCCCGGGCACCCGAAGAGAATCTGCAATGCAGCATCAGCATGTGGAGGGTCGAGTAGGGTTTGGAAAAATGGCCGGGTATATGGTCTAGGGTAGGGGGCTATAATAAAAACCCGGTGCGGCTCTGGGGTAGACCCTGGCCTGTGTCTCCGTGTCCGTAGGCCCTACGGATGGGGGTCATAGAGTCGGATAGGTTCTATTTGCAGGCGTCTGCAGTGGTACGGAAAGACCTACAGATGGGAATGGGGAGGTAGACAGGGTGCTAGAGGGGAATAGGGTCTATGACAAATAAGGTGTTGTGGGGGAATAGGGATCCATGACAGGAACACGCCTCTGTGCGTATAGGGACTTGCGGCCGTTGCAGGACAGGACCCTATCGGCTTCGCTGTAGAAGTCTACCCGGAGGGGCCGGATGCAAAAACAACGAGAGACTCAGAGACATAAACCCAAAAGCCGCCAAAGCTAACAAAGCTTGCAAGCCCGAATACATGGAGCTGAAACCTTGCTTCCTACAGCGGAAACAGTGAGCTTCCTAGGCATTTTTCTGTTCCTGTGCAACTTTCACGTGTAGAGAGCTGGAGGTGCTTTCACCCTGCATTTCAGTTCTGTCTACTTCCGCAGTACAGGTACAAAGCTCGATGTCGCCAGATAGCATCGGCACGCCAAAATGGAGGGCAAGTTTCAGATATGTGATCAATCGGGATCGCCTAGGGAGGAGGCGGGTTTAAGAAAGGGCGTGTTCAAGCAAGATACGTGATGAATCGGAGTCGCCAATGTGCTCAACCGGGGCCGCATAGGCCCGAATGAGAGGGGGGGTTTACGAAATGTGATTGACCGGCATCGCCTAATGAGAGGCCGTGTTTAAGATACGTGATGAACCGGGATCGTCAAAGGATGGTGAGGTTAAGATATGTGATGATTACATGCCCGAAAATAAAGTTTCGTCGCATCCGCTAGAGACACTAAACTGAGTATGCCTCATACAGGGAGTGAGGCATACCCTAGCTTGGCTAGCGGAGGAATTATCATCCCGGAATGGAATTATAGTACTATGGTTGTTCCGCGCGGAGGACTTCTGGAGGAGTCTAGGGGGGAACAGGGGTCTTGGACAGGTTTGTTGAAAGTAAACTATCGGACCAGCGCAGCATACATTCGGGTGAGTCTCGTCCAGCAGCAGTAGTAGTAGTATTCATTCCCCACGCTGCAGGCGATCCAAGTCTGCATAGCGAGCTAGCGACTCCGTGATTTCACGGAATCGGAGCCTCTGTGGGCTCACAGGAGGCAATTTTGCCGTCCCTGTCTCTTCATCTATCCTCCTCAAAACTGTTTGACTGCACTCAGTTCTCGAAGTGGCTAGAGGCGGTGGCTCCTTCACTGATTCTCAGCCATATAATGTATGCTTGGGCGTCCGGGATAGTAGCTGCATGCTG